CTTCCCTGTGAGAGGCAATAAATCTTGGGAGTTGGCACTCCAGTCTAGAGACCTGATACGGATAATTCTTTGAACAGAGTTAACTGGTGTGACACTTCATCCTGAGCAAATTGATGAAAACAGAACACGAATTACCCAAGGGAGTCATTTTATTCATATTTAATAGAGAGATTCTTCCACACATTTGTTAAGTTAGGCCAAAACAGTAAAGTGATTTTTTACCAAAGAAATTGCCAGCTAAGAAAAATGACTTTCATTGCCATCCTGATTATATGCATTGCAAACAACATTTAATGCATGTAGCTTTGAATTCCATAAAATCCTGCTTATTTTTAAAGCACAATTGTTCACTCAAAATTGCATGTTCTGTTTCTTAAAGTCTTAGCCCCATACTTGGACTTCTGTTACACAAATAACCAGTCCCATACCATCTCTAATAATGGGTAAGTCCTTATGAGAAATATATGCATGGATTGTGTATTTGATTAAATCATGGTAGGATTCATAACATACTATCCATATGATATGTCAGATTATAAACCAGTATTTAAAAGAAAAACGTTGGAGTAGTAAGACAGGAACTTGGTGTGAATTATGACATTCTCTTAATCTTTTCTTCAAACATATTTACTGCTCTGAAATAAGCAAACCTCATTCAAAAAGTGTCTTGTTTCTTTCGTGTGAGTCAGAGTTTCTTTTTAAGAGAATAAGTATTCTGTTGTAGTTTTTAGAGAAGTAAAATAAAAATATCATTAAATTACATGCACTTCAAAATGTGCTTTAAATTTCTCTCCTTTTAATCAAAGACAGAGCCTTTGTTCTATTTCAGTCTCTACCCAAATGAACTACAACTCTAATCTGGGTTTTAAACAGCCAATATGGCTTTTTCAGTATAATTGTCAAACAATGTACAAATTAAGAAAAGAACACATATTGAGGTAAATAGAGGATAATATTCACTTTGGAAAGAGATAAGAACAGATGCCAACATTCTTTTGAGACAGAAATGCTGAAAGGTCAAAAGCTTTCTTCAACAAGTATTGTGAAGCTCAGTAAGTGACTTCCTACTATATTGTGATCCATTGTTTTAATTTAATCTATGATTAATTTTCATGATTTCAATGAATGTTTTCCAACTCACAAGCCCTTTGTCCGCTTTTTTTTTTTTTTTTTTTTTTTTAAATACAGTGTTTGGTGCTTCAATGCTTTACTATCTTGCATTAGTGTTACACAACATTTCCTTCAGGGAAAAATTCAAAGGAATAGAAAATAAGAATTCACTTTGACATTTTCAGAATGATTGAGTTTGTTTTTTCAAGGTAGCTTTTGTTTGGTAATCACTTTAATTTTATTTGAAAAGGTTGGAAATATTTGTAATAAAACATTACATCTGAAATAAAATTCTTTGAACTGAAAGACTTTATGCAACTTTAAACTTTGATAAATAGTACAAACACAAACAAAATACTTTCAATATGCAACAGGAAATTAACTTCTAAGTCATGTATTTGAAATGTTAATGATTTGAGATATGTAGGATACAGTTCTGCTTCTGTAATTTCAAAACTAGTCATTTTGTGAATAGTCCTGTATAGTTAAGTATGAAAGTTTTGTGGTATTGTATGAGCTTCTCCTAGATAAATAAGTATTTGAGGCCTTTTTTTTTTTTTTTGATAGCCTCCACCTCCCATATCCTAGTAAGAGACTTACGAGTGAATAAATTAATAATTATTTAAATTTACTGTATTTCTTTTTCAACTAGTCTGGACAATTCTTACGATAAACTTTTTGTGAATCATACACATTTTAGAATTAGATGGCATTTCCTGCATATTCTCCAACTCTCTTTGTGACTCCACAGAAACAATAAACAGCAAAAATAAAACAGCACCATCAAATTACTGCTCTGTGTGTGAACACATTTGGTTAGTTCTATTTGTAGCATTGGGCTGAGCTATGGAATAATATGTTCCAAAAGGAAAAGTGCCATCTACTGAATCACCAAAACAAAATTTTGCAACATCTTGAGAGATTTTCCTGATATGTCCTTTCCAATTACTGATCAGGCCAAGCACTACTCAACTTGGGAGCTTTAATGAGATCACAGCTGGCAATGGTATGGCTGAATGCCACATTACTTCGCTAAGTATTCATTTAACGTGTGGTTTGGTTTTGTCTGGGTGCTTCTTACTGGATTAAAAAGTATTAGTGGAAGATCAGTGAACTGCACTTTGAAGGTCTTAAGCTTTTACTTCCTAAAGAACTTTCTCAGATAAAGTGAAGTTTAAAGGGTGAAAATGAGGATCAGGAAAAAAAAAATCTCAGTAAGTGTAGTAGAGAATTTGCAAATAAGTCAATATGTGCAAAGCTTAATTTTCTCAATATTTCTCCTCATGGATCTATGGACAGTTCTAGATCTGACAAAGATGAGCTTATTGATAATCTTGGCCACTTCTCAGGTGGCAGGAACTGCCTTGGATCACTCATAGGTACTGCAAGAGGATTTGATTTTTTATGTAACTTCCTGAGCATTCTTAGCAACTTGTTAAAGAGCTGCAGAAGTGAGGCTTCTGGTAAGAAACTAGTCCTTTTCTCCCCTTAGTGAATAGATTTTTGTGAGACTGGAATCAGGAAAACTTAAAAAAGAAGAAATTCATAACAAACAGGTAAATAGCATCTATCTGCAGGCATGGAAGCAAAAGAAACTGGACAACTATTTAGAGATATTACTCTGCTTTGGGACGCCTCTGATTACTCAGATGTACTTCCTATTACTTACCTTCCACAGCAGAGCACAGTTGTTTTTTTAGAGAAATAAACTGAGTCAATGACCCAATAGGACAATGAACTTTACTCAGGACCCAGAAAAATAAGTTCTCAAAGACATTTTTTTTCCAGGGAAAAGCAGTAGATATTTGGATGAATGCAAAACATCAGCCAATATATAAGCCTGCATAGCTATTGAAAAAATAAATCTCTCTTTCTCCATCGCTAAAATTCTTTGTGAATGTTACTATAAAAATGGAGGAATAGCTGAGATGGATATAATTCCTACCCTAAAGTCTTGATAACCTGATACAGCTGGATAACTACAGGGTTAGGGTAAAGTCTTGTCATGATTAAAACCCAGCGGATGAGATAGAGCATGAATAATTTTTCGTTTCTTAAAGTAAAAATATTTAGCAGAAGGAAGTCATGGTGTAGAAAAAAAAATACATGTCTGATCATGAGCATTCAGTTAGACTAGATTTTGAAGGTCTGTAAGGAAATGTAGTGATAATTTTATGACAACATTGATGATTCTTACAGGAGTAGAAACAGCCTGAAACCATAGTTGTATACAGTATTCAGCACAGTTATACAGTATCCTTGAAAGCTTTTTCATGCAAGAGGGTTTTTTTTTTTCCCCTCAATTTATAAGCTGGATGTGCACTGTCTTCTGCAAGGATAGTGTCACTAAAAGCTTTTTCATGAATGTTTTCCCTTTTCAGTTCCCAGAATGCAAAGAAGGGTACTCAAACACACTACTTTAAACTTACTCAACAATTCGTGGACTGTTTTCTTCTCAATTTGGTGGTGACTTCAGTTTGAAGATCAAGACTGCATTACTTGGCTAGCTTCAAAAATCATATGATGCTGTTGATCATACAGAAACAATTAAGCCAAAATAACCAGCAGGAATGCTTTTAAACCACTCTGCTGGAAAAGCTTTTGCTTCGGTGGGATGAGGAAAATCCATCAGGAGGCTTGAGGAAAGTAAATCCAAGGAGCCTGAAGATAGCCTCCTTGAAATCATTTAAAAGCCCCAGGAAGTACTTGGGAAAAACAATTTTCTAATATTGCCCAATAGTACAAAATGACTTCAGCCAAACACTGCAGATCCTACACTGGTTAAAGTGGAAAGATAACTGCGCCTAAACTAGGGCAGCAAGCATGGGAGCCTGGTGAGCAGTGCTGTCAGCTCCTGTCTATTCATAGCCCGGTCCCTTACCTATCCCCAAGACAAACGCTTCATCACCACGTGAGGCTTTAAACTACATGCAGACATCGCTCTGGGAGGTTTTGCTGCTTCCTCCCCTTAGCTTTAGCTGAGTTACAGCATCTCAAGCTGCCAAAACTCTCTCCAAAGCGGAAGTGTTGCAGTATCAGTGTCAGGTGCACCCATGCAGGGTGAGTAGGGCTTGGCTCCGTGCCCTCTTCTCGCTGCACTGAGCGTGGTAGAACCCTCAGACAACTCCTTTTCCCTGAACATGCCACTGTTTTGCAGTAGGATGAGAGACCGGGGGAGGTGAGCGATATCGATCAATCCCCTCCTTCTGCCCCACAAACAGATCCCTGAATAGAGCCAGGAGCAGCCCGTGCGCAGAGGCAGCCTCTGCTTCCCAGAAAGCGCCGGGTATCATTCACAAAAGCTATTTTTTTATCCACGCACATTTTTTTTTTTAACTGTTGTTTTTCATCTGTGACCTGGCGCCAAACCTTTCCCGGGGGTGGCAAACCCGGCCGCATCGCTCGCTCCGGTGCCGGGCAGCAGCGGGCGGTGCGGGTGTCCCGGGCCGCTTCGGAGGCACTCAGAGCGCGCGGCTGTGGAGCCGCATCCCGGGCGGGCGCCGGGGCCGCTCAGCCCGACGGCGGCGGGGCCGGGGCCGAGCCGGGCCGAGCCGAGCCGGGCCG